TAGCTATCTAGGCTCTTCAAAGATCAGTTCATCTGGGCATTAATGGCTCATGCCTGTGATCCTAGCTACTTGGGCGTCTGAGATTGGGAGGACTGAGGTTTACGGCTAGCCCAGGCACACACATTCAAGAGATCCTTCTCAGAGTAGCTAGGCACTTTTGTCATTCTAGGTACCTGGTAAGCTGAGATTGGGAATATCTAGGTTTCAGGCCTGCGTTTGCAGAAAAGTCCATGAAATCCTATCTCAGTTGAAGAAGCTGGGAAACAAAAAAATAGAGTATGTAGTGTTCTAGGCATACACTTGGGCAGGAGCCTATTGGAAAAATAAACTGTACAAGGGCTGGAGATTTAGCTTAGCAGTAGAGTATCTATCTAGCATGCTCAATACCCTGGGTTCAATCCCCAGCACTACAATCATTTAATAATAATAATAATAAACCTGTACAACAATAAACAGTAAGGGCCGTTTAGCTTAGTTGTAGAGTATCTAGCAAGCATGAAACCCAAGTTTAAAGATCAGTGGCAACTCCGAAAAAATGTAGGTCCATGCTATTCTTTTCCTATTTTCTGCAATTCATGTCACTAAATTAGAGGCCTTTTATGTTCTTTTGTTGTTGTTGTTGTTGTTGTTTTAATATGCCTAGAGCTTGTCACTGAGTTTCTGTTTTACTTTTGTTTTTTTACTCAAGACTGGTTCTCTGCCACTTGAGCAAACTATATTTCCAGGTTTTTGTTTGGTTTGGTTTTTGAGTAGTTTATTGGGGATCAAAAGTCTTGAGAACTTACCTGCCTGGCCTGACTTCAAACTGCAGTCCTCAGAGCTAAGCCTCTTGAGCAGCTAGGGTTACAGGCATGAGCCGCCGGCCTCAGAGGTCTTTTATGGAAAACCTACATAATTAGCTAAGAGATTTTGATAACATTTTCTATAGTTTTTCTTCTTTAGAAACTGGTTTATTTCTATGAGCCAGTGGTGAAAGTTGTCCTGCAGTTTTTTGGATAACACTTCTATTTGCTTGGTAATACATGCTTGGTAATTGAGTTCATTTTTCCAGTCTTATAAAGTTTCCTTTTTGTAATAAAAATTTTTATTTTTTTTGTTTTAGTCATATTTTAGATGTGCAATTCAGTGGCATTCACAGTGTTATGTAACCATCACCACTGTTTCCGGAAATCATTCTTCATCATTCTAACAGAAACTATCTATTAGGCAACAATACCTCGTTACCCCAACCACTTGTAACTTTTTTTTTCCTGCTTTCTGTTTTTATGAATTTTTCTGTTCTAGATACTTTATGTAAGCAGAATCATATGGTTATCCTTTTTGACTTATTTCCCTGAATATTATGTTTTCAAGGCTTATCTATGTGTAGTATGTTTCAAAATGATGATGGCTTGTACCTGTAATTCTAGCTACCCAAGAGGCTGAGGTCTGAGGATTTAGGGTTGAAGCCTTTCTGAGGAAGAAAGTCCTTGAGACTTACCTTAATCTCCAACTAACTAGCAAAAAGATGGAAGTGAAGGTATTGCTCAGGTGATACCCACCAGCCTTGGGCAGAAAAAGACAAGTGACAGTGTGAAGCCCTAAGTTCAGTTTCCAGTACCAGCGCACGCGCGCGCGCGCGCACACGCGCACACACACACACAAACACACACACAATTTGTTAACCTATTAAATAATTAAGCTTGTCACTAGATTAGTTCCTGTGTAAAAGGACCAAAATTGTTAAGGGTTTAGTGATAGGAAAGTTGAGAGGCCATATAAACTACACTTTTGAACCACTTGACAGTAAATGGACAGGAGAAAGAACTTCATTGAGAAAGAATGTCTGAAGAGGTGCTTGTTTTGGGGGGGGAGGTGGGCGGTGCAATACTGGGACTTGAACTTAGACCCTCACACTTCATTTGTTAAACATGTGCTCCACTGCTTGTGCCATTCCTCCAGTCCTTTTTGCTCTGGTGTGTGTGTGTTTTCATGTGCGTGCGTGGGTGTGTGCAAGCTGTCCCTGACCTTTGGGCTCTCTACTATTCTCTAGGACTACCACTTGAGCCAAAGCTCCACATTGGTCTTTTTTTTTTTTTTTTTTTGGTCAGTCGTGGGCCTTGAACTCTGGCCCTGGGCACTGTCCCTGAGATCTTCAGTTCAAGGATAGTGCTCTACTGCTTACGCCAAGGTTTTCAGTTAGTTAATTGGAGATGAGTCTCAAGACTTTCCTGTCTTGGCTGGCTTTGAGCCTTGATCCTCAGATCTCCTGAGTAGCTAGAAATACAGACGTGAGCCACCAACACCCAGCTCGTGCTTGCGCACGCTCTCTCTCTCTCTCTCTCTCCTGATTTCTCTCTCTCTCCCCCTCTCCCTCCCTCTCCTTCCTTCCTTCCTTCCTTTTTTTCCTGTTTAATTGGAGATAAAAGTCTCACAGACTTTGCTGCTCAGGCTGGCTTTAACTGTGATCCTCAGAAGTCAGCCTCCTAACTAGATAGGGTTATAGGTGGAGCCACCAGGGCCCAGCTTTACTCTAGTCATTTTGAGATGGAGTCCCACTTTTTTTTTTCTTTTTCTTTTTTCCTTTCTTTCTTTCTTTCTTTTTTTCCTGTGGGTCCGGTTGTGGGGCCTGAACTTGGCCTGGGCGCTTGTCCCTCAGCTCTTAACCTCAAGGCTAGCGCTCTACCACTTGAGCCACAGCACCACTTCCAGTCTTTTCTGTTTATGTGATGCTGAGGAATCGAACCCAGAGCCTCATGCATGCAAGGGAAGCGCTCTACCACCGAGCCACCTTCCCAGACCCCCTTTCTTTTCTTTTTTTTTTTGGTCAGTCATGGGGCTTGAACTCTGGGCCTGGGTGCTGTCCTTGAGCTCTTGACCTCAAGGTGAGTGTTCTAATACCTGAGCTGCAGAACCACTTCCCGTTTTCTGATGATTAATTGGAGATAAGAGTCTCACAGACATTCCTGCTCTGTCTGATTTTCAATTGTGATCCTCACATCTTAGCCCTCCTGAGTGGCTAGGATTACAGGCTTGAGCCACTGGTACCTAGCTCACTTTTTTTTCTTTAGAAGTTGAAAAATGAGTATTAAAGCTTATGAAGATGTGTGAATAAGCTGTGGGTAAAAGAAGGTGCAACACTGAAGAACAGATTATAAATGGATAGGAATTAGCAATTAATTAAAATTTTTTATTATAAAGGGGATATACCGAGGGTTACAGTTACATGTCAGGTAAACAGTACATTTCTTTTTGGACAGTGTCACTCCCTCAGTTTTTCTCAGTTTTTCCCTCTGTACCCACAAGTTGAATAGTTCATTTTCAACACAGTATCTAGTGAGTTTCACTGTTGCATTTTTCACCCTTTGTTCCCTCCATTTCTGTGGCATAAATTTTTTTAATCCAGTTAAATGGCCTTTAATAGAAACAAAATACATACAAAATGTATACAGTTGCAGCTTAACTTTTGCCAACTTTCTTTCCTCTGTTCTTTGATAATCATGCACTTCCATATAAGGGGGTATTAATTAAAATTGTATTGCTTTGTTCTTGGAATCAAATTTGGTTTCAGCAATGATAGGTCTCCCTGGGGTGTTGAGGAGTCCCTAGAAAGCTGGAAGTAGAGATAAGCTTTCCAGGAAATTTAATACTATGTCTCTAACAGGGGAAGAATGAAAATACACTGGAGGGGAAACAAGATCAGAGGAGAGGATATGGGATTGAAAAGAATCTTCTGACATAGGCATATGAGCAGTTATGAAAGATGGGCTTTTATTTTTGAGAAGAACATCTTTTCTCATTTTCTAATACTAAAGAGCTGGAACTGGAACTTGAAGGAGAAATCAGCTAAAATTCCTTTAACTGTGATAATACGATCCTAACTTTGAATTCAAAGTAGACTTTTGATTTTAAGGCAAGAACAGGAACAGGCCTGGGGGTTTGACTCAGGTGGTATATGCAAATACCATTCAAAAAAAGTTGGAACAAGAGGGAGGGTAGAAAAGTAAGTGATATTTTTTTCAATTACTGAAAATTGGTACTGTGGAAATGAAATGAAAGAGTATTTTAGTGACTCTGAAATTACAGCCTATAAAATCTAGGCAGAATGTGAAGAGTAAAAGCAGCCAGAATAGGATACGTGCATGCTAAGAATAGATTCTTTTTTGGGGGGACAGGGGTCCTCAGCACCACATAAGCAGAAAAAGTGGGAAGTGGCGTTGTGGTTCAAGTGGTAGAGTGCTAGCCTTAAGCTGAAGAGCTGAGGGACAGTGCCCAGGCACAAAGTTCAGGCCCCACGACTGGTTTAAAAAAAAAAAAAAAAAGGCCCGGTCTGTATAATGAGAGATAATTATGCTAATACTTGCTTTTTATTTTTTTTTTTTGTTTGTGTGTATACACCTACATTCTCCCAGAAATAGTGTTATACCAACTGTCAAGGAATCATTTATTTTTTGTCGGTCATGGGGCTTGAACCCTGGGCTTGGGTGCTGTCCCTCAGCTATTCAGCTCAAGGCTAGCAGCACTCTTACCGCTTGAGCCACTGTGCCACTTCCAGTTTTCTGGTGGTTTATTGGAGCTAAGAGTTTCGTGGACTTCTGCCCAGGCTGGCTTTGAACCGTAATCATCAGATCTCAGCCTCGTGAGTTAGGATTACAGGCATGAGCCACGAGCACCTGGCTTCAGCCATAATTTCTAAAGAAAAGACCCTTTTGGGTTTCTTCTTTTCTTTTTTTGTTATTATAAAAGTGATTTACTAGAGGGGTTACAGTTATGTAAGTCAGATAAAGAGTACATTTCTTCTTGGACAATGTCACCCATTCCCTCGCTATTTCCCAGTTCTTTTTTGGTTTTTAAACATGATTTGGCTTTCAGGCTGTTGGTAAGATGTGCCTGGGTCAGACCTTGTTACAACATGGACACATTACCCATCTGATTTGAAATAATTAATATTCAGTTATTTGAAATTATCAGAATGTTCTGAAATGTTGTGAAATATTAAATTTTAAATTATTTCATTTCAGGTTACAGTGCAGAATTTTGGAAGTCCTGCCTCCATCACATCAAAATGGTTTTGTTAATGGACATGTTAGTAGTGTAGATGGGGAAACTATTGTCATCAGTGATAGTGATGATTCAGAAGCACAGAACAACTCTTTCCAAAATGGGTAAGTGATTTTAATAAAATTATCATTTATCAGATTAATGATATTCCACTGAAATAATATTTTCCCTAATTTCTTCCTTTCTAAACGAATTATTGTACACACCCATTTAAATAGTTTGGTTCAACCATAGAGGTTAGCATTTTCAAAATTAAAACTTACATAAAATTGGCTGTTTTAACTAAGCCTCATTCAGTTATATATATATATTTTATTTTTTTGGGTCTGGTCATGGGACCTAAACTCTGGGCCTGGGCGCTATCCCTCAGCTCTTCAGCTCAAGGGTAGCACTTTACTACTTGAGCCACAGTGCCACTTCCGGCTTTTTTCTTTTTGCTTATGTGGTGCTGAGGAATCGAACCCAGGGCCTCATGCATGCAAGGCAAGT